AGGCACTTATGCAAACCAATCCCTGTCTCTGAGCACGGACGGTATGGTTATCTTGAGTGTGGGGGGTTCTTCCCGGAACCTCAATTGAGTCAAGGGTGTCGCCACCTCTGGTGGATAGGTTCATCCGGGTGGGTCCCACTTCTATACCTGCCTCCTTTTGGGAAACCCTGATGGCCTGGCAGTGATGTTGGGTCTGACGGGCAAACGAAGTAGATCGGGTGCTGGGTCCGAGCCCGCCAGGGGTATCTGGGGATCTATCGCTCTGGTTATCTCTGGTTTCCCAGCAACTGGGTAAGGCCTCGATCGGGTAGTGGTGTAAATGGGAGGTTGGGGTTCCCCGTCAGCGTGCTGACGGTCCCCTTCCTTCTGGCTATTGATGGCGGGTTTGCCTGTCAGGGATTAGATAGGTCCCGAGTGTTACTTGCACTAAATGCGTCGGGGCGCTCTACCATGGTCCTCTAGGTCCCGACCTAGTGGAACCCAGGTGGAGTGACGCTTAAACAAGTAGCCGGAAACCCTGGTTAGGATTGAGGGGCAACCCTCTTTCCGAAGGGTCTGCTTCGGCAGCCGGTGAGCCTGATGACCTTAAGTCATCCGCCCATGATGTGCAAAAGGTTGATGTGTAAGCTTCGGCCTACATCATGGGGCCCGGGTAAGTCTCACGATAGGTACCGGGTATGTAGTCAGGGGGCTTCGGCTCTCATGACAAATATTGAAATTGAATTGAATTGAATTGTAACCTTTTGAAAGAGGCATTTCCTCGCGCTGTTGTAACAGTCAGAATATTAAAACATCGTTTGTTTAATTTAAATAGCGGTTTGTTTGAAATTATTTAGAGTAACATGGCCATGAGAAACATGCTATATTTGAAACTCCAACAACAGGAAAATATACGTTAAGTTTTATAAACGATTAAATTGTAGGCTAGTTATTTGTAGCGGCCAAAAACTGTTGTCCCGTTACCTACTTTTAGGAATAAACAATTTGTCCTCTACTTAGTGATGTAAAAATCATTATACAGGTTGTTATGGTCATATTATTATAAAGATCAAAATAACTAGGCCTACAATTTATTCTTTAGTTGGGGTAATTTTGATGAAACAAATAACAATACATTTACAGTCTTCATTTTATGCTAGAATGTTTTACTATAAACAATGTAGGCTATTAAGAACCGCAGTAAAGTCCTTTAGAGAACCTGCAATATCAGTACCTTCAATACCTTCAATATATATTGGGTGAAATATCAGTTTGTTATACAAATAGTACTTTATATTATTCCCTGCGATATAAATTCCGATTTTTGTTTTGAGTATTAAAGGTACTGTATCGTGATATGAATATTTAAAGCCATAGATTCTTTTTAAATAGACTTTCACACTGTGCTGTGGTGGTTAAAACAGGTTAGTCCTATAGTTTATGTTAATAAAAACCAGGTAACACCTAAATAAATACAAATTGTTCCAATAGCATCATCATTGGGTTGGGTTAGTGTTGTACAGTTTTCTATCAAAACTGATTGTCAAAAGCGCCAAATTATACCTAGTCGTGTCTTTTCATGAGTAACTTAGCTTATAGAAAAAAGCTAAACGTTTTGTTAATGATACCTTGTTTGTTTATAAACTATAGGCCTACCACTTTCAAAAGAACCTGCGCAGAACCATGGCTGTCTCGCGCATGTAGGGGTGAAGGGTAATGGCGGGGAAGGGTCTGGAGCAGTGGTGGGGATAAGTCGTTGGGGCGAGGTGTCTTTCCCCACCACTCTGACTCTCCTGCTGTCCTGCATGCACGACTCATACAGGTGCGTGGTTTTTTTCTATGTGGTAGGCCTATAAGCTAACATAACCTAAACGCCGCAATGGTCTGTAAAAGATTGGTGGGTGGTCCTCTTTTTAAAAAGACCCATAGGCTAACAGATTAATAAGCAGGCCTATTTCCTAATCAATATATATTATATAAATTTGAAGCTATTGTCAGTAGGCCTATTAATTTATAGAAACTGAAAATTTGATAGGATAGTATAATACATTGAAGTTTCTCTGCAGAACTTTACCCCATAACATTGCTGTTGCAGTGCAATGTAATTTTCAGAATCAGTCTTCTTCGCTTTGTATTTAGGCTAAGTAAAATTGATTTTCCTTGCTGCATATTAGGGAACATTATTACTATGTTTAATAGCCATGATAAGGTACAGTAGACTCCCTCTTATTCAGACACCTTTTAACCTGACATCGGTTTAACCAGACAACACTCGGTGGAAATTACATCTCTTAAGGCCTATTTTGCTTGGAGCGACTGTAGCGATAGTCGCACAGCGATTATCGCTCAGCTACTATAGCTGACAAGGCGGCCGTTTTGCTTAGAGCGATTGATTTTCGGTCGCACAGCGATTTTTCATAGTTAGTTAAATATCAGCACTCACAATGGTGAAGTCATGAGTGCGAATTGTAAGTCATTAAAGCGTCTCCTCGGTGAGGATTTAGGAGACGAGGCTCCACTCGACCCTAGTGGAAGTATCAATGGACGATCGATTGAAAATACATAGTGATACGTAGGATTAGGGACGGATACGTATCACTAGAGGTCACTAGATAGGACATAAATAGAAAACTGTAGTGATATCAATAAGAGTACATGAATGTTGGAAAATAAAACCTGGAGTCTAAATTTTAAAAAAATATTCACACAAAAACTGACACAGTATTAACGCCCACACTACGTAAATAACACATAACAACATGGAACAGTCAAGCATTTTATATTTAATAATTTGAATAGACGTAAATTACCTTAACAAATTTAAACAAGTCGCCTGTTTCTACTAAAATTTAATTTAGAAAATGAAATTAATGTGTAATGAAATATAACCAAAACAGTAGAATCGTAACAGCACATGAATAGAAAAATTAATGTGAACAAAAAAGTAAATTATGGTTAATTTAACCCCTATTATGTGCCTACTGAGTGAACTGCACTGTTTTGAGGTTCTGCACATCAGTCGCGGCGCGATTATCGCTCAGACTGGTCCCCGGGGCAGTGGTCCGCGACTGTAGCTAGCGACTCTTGCGATAGTCGCTCCAGGCAAAACAGGACAACGCAAACTCCATCAGAGCAGTGCCCGCCTACTATCGCGGAGCGATTATCGCCACGCGACTATCGCTGCAATCGCTCCAAGCAAAATAGGCCTTTAACCGGGCAATTTTTATCAGCACATCGGTTTAACCGGACTAGGTCGGCAGGAAGTGGGAGGTAAGCGTTACTGAAACGACTGTTCTTGTGTTAAGGATATGAGAACAGTGATTATGCTCTACTACATTTTAGTCAAATACTGTATATACAGTATGCATTTAAACGGTCAGTTTTAATGAGTTTGTGGGACGTCAGTTTAACGAGAAAACCCATTATCCGGACTGACCTCGGTCCCAAGAGTCTGGATAAGAGGGAGTCTATTGTACTGTACATTTTACTATGTTATAGTGACACAAATAAAAAAATAACAGCCAAAACTTCATGCAATAACCCCATAGTACCACATACAATATGTTTACTAGTGTGAACTACACTGTAGGCTACACATTGAATGTGTTTCCCATGTTTATTAAATTAACCTAAAACAGAGTTTTTTTGTTACAGAGTCATTGATTGAGGTGCTGGTGAACTAATTGAAGACTTAAAAATGTTTTGTTATTAGTGTGAGGTGTGATAGTACGGACTGTTGTGATAAATTACCACTGTTTATGATTTACTTTATATGTTTTAAAATAAATGTTCTACATAAACTATTAAAATTGAATGATCATTTACAATGCCAATATTTCCAGCTGTAATAATTTTTTTTATACTTCTTTTAATTATGTTTTACTTTGTTTCTAAACATAAGTTCTGATGTAGTCAATATTTGCATAATATGCACTTTCAAAAATATAAGATAGTAAACACAACAGCTTTTTATATACCATTGTTATTATTTATTGGTGTTTTTGTATTGCAATCGTTAAGTTGCATGCGTACCGGTAGTTGCAGATGAATTGGTCTGTTTAAATGTATAAAGGAACTAAAATAAAATCTGAAAATTCCAGACTAACATAAAGATTATTCAAACAAAGGAGGTTGAAGTATGTACAAAATTCCAAAAACTCTTATTTTGAATTTGGTAAGTTTAATTTGATACCAAATATCGTTGACCTTATTTCCTATATTTTCTCTGGATGGTATTTCAATTTATTTTATAGTTGATATGATTCTGCTCCACTCAAATTCCAGGGCATGGACTGCAATCAATATCTGCCAACATCAAATTCGAGAAAATCTAAAAATTTGTTAACTCACTTGTATATACCGTATAACATTTAAATACAACATGAAAAATAATAGGATTTCCTGGAATTTTTCTAAAATGTTTGAGATCATTCTCAACATCCCAGGCAATTTCCTTGAATATACTCAGATCATTCATAAAAAATATTCTAAGAAAATTTTTATATAGCCTAGAAATCTGGAGAACATTCTCAGAATATATTCTGGAAAAGTACTCTGAAATTTTCATGGTATATTCTGAACATATTAAGTTTAAATTATTAATTTTGTCAAGTATCACAAAATAACTTGAAAAATACAAAAAACAATGTTTTTAGGGTAAAAAATGGGAAAACTCAATGTTTAGTGCATTCCCATAATTAGTAAAATGCAACGGATGATGGGGGTGACAGAGATGACTGACTCAAGTCGTCAATCGTCACGGAGGTAGCTGCTAACAGCAGCAGAACTGAAACTGAACTGAACTAGTAAGTTATGGCTCCTGAGTCGACTCGTTGAAGACCAAATACAACTGAATTGGTTCTTTCTGGCGCATGCGCAGTAGGCTAGTCCAATTCCTGCCCTGAAACGCTCGCTTGTTCGTGGTACTTAGTTACTTCTGACGTTCTCCTCGTTGTTCAGGTTAATCAGCAGGTTCAGGTTGTTCTTGTTCTTGTTGACGTTGGTTGGTTGTACCAGGTGTATATAGTCAATGGTTGTACTTGTATTGTGTCTTGCATTTTTAGGTTAGTAAAATCGAAAATGGTTTTAGATCTGGATTTATTTCGTCCTGATAAGGGAGCAAATCCCGATAACATTCGTGACAATCAAAAGAAGAGATTCAAAGATGTGGGCTTAGTAGATGCAGTTGTAGACAACGACTCTAAATGGAGACAATGTAAGTGAGGTTATGATCAAATTAGTCATTCCAGCAAAACATTAACAATTCGCATGTTTTTGGCCTAACTTAAACCTTTTGGATCTAGGTTGCACTTTAGTTTACGTCATACATTACTTGCCTATTATACATTAACCTAACTACCAGCTGATTATAAAATGAAACTGTTCTAAACTAAACCTAACCTTAACCAAACTGCATGGTACCCTTTCTATGTTAAGTACAAATAAAAACCGTTACTATTCCTTGTAATGATCAACGACCTTGATAGAGATGGAGGGGTGGTGCTTTTTGCCGACGATACAACCCTGGTATCACGGGGCCCCAAATTGAGCTGTCCACAGCAGATGCAAACCGGCATCTCACTGAAGCATCCCGGTGGTTTGAAGAAAATGGTTTCCAGCTCAACCAGGATAAAACCCAGGCACTGGTCTGCAGTCTGGCGAGAAATGCCCCACGGGATGAGCCAGTGAAGCTCCTTGGATTTCATCTGGATGAGTTAGGAAGTTGGCGTGGAACAATCACATACAGTAAGCAAAGTTAGTAGCAAACTTTTTAGGGTATGTTGCCTGCTGCTCAAGCTACGAAATTTCATCACTCAGCCATACCTGCTGAACATCTACCATGCTATGTTCCACTGCCATGTGAGCTACGGCCTACTGATATGGGGTCATGCTGCGGATGTTGAGGACATTTTAGTGCTGCAAAAGCGTGCTGTAAGACTCATTACTCTTAGTGACCACATTGCCCACTGTAAACCCATCTTCGCAAAATTGGGAATTCTCACAGTTTACAGCCTCTATATCCTGGCATGCTCACTACTGGTATATGACAATTACGACAATCTCCAACTCCGTTCAGCATTTCACAACCACCAAACAAGGCAGCACGAGCTACTGGATGTGCCTAGGGTTAGGGTTAGGCTTGCAAGATCGCAAAGGAGTTATAATACAGTGGCAATTCAAATTTTTAATAAGCTGCCTCACTCAATCAAGCGTCTTGGGCGTAAACTTTTTATGAAGAAGCTTGTCCCTCTCCTTAAGTCAAGAGCGTACTACTCACTAAAGGATTTTTTTGAGGATAGATTTCCTGAATTTTCTGACTAAACCGCATATCCACACGCCAAAGTTTTTGTAAATATTTTTGTTTGTATCTACTCGAATCAGTTTTGTTTTAAATGTACTTTGCATATTGAAATTCTGACGCCATCAATCCCTTATTGGGTAAAAGATGAAGACATGGTAATAAGGTAATAGGCAAAAATATTAAGAAACTTCAGTTACTTACCCTGCTTCAAGACTTTATTGACTGAGGACATTTTTATAGGGACATTGGGATAAGCCTACTATCGATACCGGTAGTTATCGATATTATTACTTCGATACCAGTGGTGTCGGTCTCGGAAGCAATACTTAATCAGTATCGAAAGAAAATATGCATTATTAGTACTGTATCGAAAGAAAGTAGGCCTATCTAAGTTATGCATTATCACTATAAAAACGTAGCTCCTAGTTAGGCCTAGTTTTCTCTATTTTTTTACTGTAAAACCCAATGTGGAAAGGGATAATCTTCAAAAGTTTCTTTGTAAAAAAATAGGCTATACACGTCCGGTAACAGGACGTGGATTAGGCGTCCGGCAGTGACGTCACTGGGTGGTGGGGGCCCGGAACACCATTACCGCAATCATACTAGGTGCAGCCATCAGTGTTCGTGGTGTAGTGGATAGAGTAACTTACTCGGCTGATGTCCAAGAGGTATCCAAATCTAATCCCAACACACTAACTTTTTGTCAAAAGATTTTACTTAGAATGCGATTTCTTCTTAACTGTACATCTTTTGTTAGAATTTGAGGCATTTATAATTTTATTTTATGAACAGAACCTTCTTTCGAGTTTTTCATTAACAGTAAGTTTGGTTGGTTAGGTTAGGTTATGCAGTAACTGCCGCATGCCTAATCCACATCCGGTTACCAGACGCGTATCCTCCGCGTAAAAAATATAAGGCTGAGTAATGAATTCAAACAAGCTTTAGGAATATGTTGGGCTACTACCTATTTAGAGTGTTTTTCATTTAAATGGCGACCATTCTAGTAGATATTTTAATGGCCAAATATGAACGGAGATGAGTGTTCTGTTTGATCTTGTATTCTTGTTAGTGCCTAAGGCCGTGAAGAGGAGCGCCAATGTAACTTAAGATGTAAGATATTCCTTAGACATAGCTGTTAATTAATAGCTCATACAGCTCTTGGCAACTAAGGGACCGACCTACAGTTTAGTGGAATCCGAACCATTTTTTTGCCTCTGGTGTTTACGAATTGGTCTAATTATCAGGATAGTAGGCCTATTGTGTATAGTCGTAGTACTCACTAGTGCGGACGTTAATCCACACCAGGGAGTATCGCATCCACAGTGCATGCCTATAAATATCCACAATTTGTGACCTAGTAGCTAGATTACAGGGCAACGCCACTCAATAGCAACAGCAGATCCTTTCGCATCACCTCTTTCATTTGACATAGGCTATGTTAATTGCTTTGATCTTCCTAAGCGCAATAAAAAAACAATCTGAATTGTATCAAATAAACTTGTATTCAATCTAGAATTAAAAGAAGTGTTGCGGAGTTAGAATTTAAAGAGTCTTTTAAAACTATCCAAGGGTCACAGATCTATGACCCTCATGAAATGTTATTGAATAAGAATAAGTTAAATCTAAGGCTTACCTTACGATCCATTTTATTTTGTAATGGAGACATAGGTTTCTACGTCAAAAAGTTATCGTCAGTTGTCTCCTAGGCTAGCTAAACTTTTAGTTTTCTATCTCTTACTTGAGATATTGTCAATTTGGTATAATTTAAGTACAAACATTGAACACATATAATTATTTACAAGGACACATCTTCTATATTATATTTAATAGGCCAACATTAATTTTGTGATAATTGTTTCGAAGCTGCTACGCATCCAATCACCATGTTTAAGGTGTCGTTGTGGCACGTAAATTTGCCATCAAACAAAACATTTTTGAAAATCAATCAGGGCTCAGCCCTCCAGACGCCTTCAAAGTTCCTGTGTTATCCTTATGGAGAAAATAACTTTTTACATTTGAACACATGAAATTTACACTAAATGGTTGTATTATAATTGAAACTGGTGGAAACATGAGCTATAAAGGATTTATTAGATTAGGCCTAGTTGAATAGATCAATATTTAGGCCTACTCTATTTTTGTGGTTTAAAACTTGGTGTTTCACAGCATGCCAACTTTGGTTAAATTAATTTAAATATTAAGATACAGTAGTTATACTATTTCTTTGTTTTACTGAAACAAAATAACAGGATATTATTTAATGAGAGGAGGATATCGATGTCAAAGGAACAGTTCTTTTTTTTATCAAGTCCCATCCATTGTAAGGGATATCGAATAGGTCAGGATGATCGGGTTCGGTCATTTGCCAAGATCATAGAAGACTATGATGACGTTTCCGTGACGGCGGGAGACAACGATAATGTCTACAAACCATACTAGATATCCAAGATTTTGCCGCGATCGCAGAAGACCATGCTAACATTTCCGAGACCGCGGGAGACAATGATGAAGACCACACAATCACGGGAGATATTCTTGATTTCACCACAATCCCGGGAAACAATTTTTTTTACCTTATGTAATTATGATGATAATGAAAACAATCATGATATTAGGGATTATTATTTTTTCAATACTAGCTCGCACTGAAATTTGGAGCAATTAGAATTATACAAATTTAATGTAGTATGAGGGCATACTTAGGTTGTAGACCTTGAATTAAAATTGGTTATAGCTTACAGCTAAACACTGTCACGGTAACCAGGAAAAAACTTCCAAATCCAGGGATTCCTGGAATCCCACTTTTTAACCCATTGGCACCGACTTACGAGCGTTACTCGTACGGCCGCTGCAGGCCCGGCGGCCGACTTACGAGTGCCGCTCGTGTCACCGCTAGCACAGAAAACATATTACTATAACCCAGAATGCCAACCGCGTGGTAAAAAGCATTAAGTGTTTTGAGAGAGCTTTGCCTGTCAATCGTAGGCAGCGCCACCAGCGTTGCCATGCACTCAGCATAGCAACGCTGCCTACGATTGACAGGCAAAGCTCTCTCAAAACACTTAATGCTTATTACCATGCGGTTGGCATTCTGGGTTATAGTAGTATGTTTTCTGTGCCGCTAGGCAGCGTCATTAGTTATTTAGTTATTATTATTTTTTGCCCTTTTTGTTTCTTCTTACTATTATAATGTTTATAAATATCTTGCTTCTTGATTTGCATATAACAAACAATTTTGTGTTGCCATGGAAACCACATATCACCAAAAATCAGCTGCGGTAAGGTAAACAAACAAAAAAAAAAAAAATTATTACTCATAAAAGTACACAACTTTTGATTTTTCTACGTAGGGAATCGATTGAACTTTATAATAGTAGTGTTATTTGGTGTCTGGATTAATCTTGGAATTTGTATATCAAGTTTACTTTCAAAATATTGTTTTTAAAATTTTTATTTTTATAATCTTTATATTTATATTTTTTTTTAGTTTAGAACTTTGATTATCCAATTACCACTTTTCTGTAGACAATTTTACTGTGAACAAAATGGTGAAAGAATTATTAATTTATTACCTAAGGTTTTCTTTCTATAGCAGTTAGAGTAAAAGTCTACAAATTCGGTAAAATTAATTGCCGCCAGAGGGTGCTGTAGGTAGCGCATTAATTCCTTCCCCAATGGGTTAAACATAGTATATTCCTTGAATTACTAATGTTTTTATGTCTGGTTTTTGGAGAGGTGTATGTGAAATAAGTTGAAATGGTCCAGCATGAGTTGGTATTTATGGTCCAGCATGAGTTTTGTGATAGTTGTTTTTACGCTGTCACGCAATCAATCACCATGTCCAAGGTGATTTCCCAATAGAATAGAATAGAATAGAATAGATTTATTGGTCATTCAGTAATCTATATAATTAATACGCTACATGAAACTTTGTCGGTTGAACTCCTCCGCCATTTCTTAACCGATTTTATCCATTGACGTCTCATTGGAAAGAGCGTGTAACGTAGATTTGCAAACTGGCCTTACATTTTTGAAAACGTCCCTTGGGCTCTGCCCCAGTGGCTTTTAAAGTTCCCATGTTATCCTTATGGAGAATATAATTGTTTACATTTTGATCAGCTGTATAATTTAATTGCTGTTATTTATTTTTCAATTCAACGAAACGCATTGGGTATCACTGATTTTGCTGAAATGAAAAATACATTTTGGATGCATTGCGATTGCATTTTGTTGATAAAAATCAAGAAAGCCTGGGCAATTTGATATATTTTACCAAATAAGAAAATTGAATTGACAGGGTAGGCCTCTACCCTTCCTTGAGCAATCGTAGAAATAACCGATTTTGTGCCATGGATACATAGGATAGTCATAGAAGGCCACCAAGTAGAAGAAATATAGATTTAAGAAAAACATTTACTGTCGTTATCATACTATATAATGAAGAACAACTACAATATGAAGATTCCCACAAACAATGAACAAGGATGTTACCCGAACTGTTACTATTTTGTAGGAAACACGGACTTAACTTTATGATGATTGGCAAAGGAAAACACTCTAAGGCTGAATTAAACTGGTATGGCAAGGACATTAAATATATGTTTTCATAAAAGTCGAGTGATTAAGAAATAATATGACTACATCCAAGAAACCTTAATAAAACTTTCACTAAAGGATTTGCATTATTCACATTTGAGGGAAACAAAACACCATTTGAACAACATTAGGCCATTCAATTCTGCATTTTTTTAGAGAGGTTATGCAGAAAATCAGGCAGTTCTTAAGTAATGTAAACAAAATGTTATCGCTATAAAAAATGACTGAAATTTTTAAACCTACTGGCGACAACGGGTAGTACTATGCATAGGCCTTCTACATTATCATTGACGAAGATCAACATGGACAACCCAATGCGGCTATAAGTGGGAAAGATTTGTAGAATAGGTACACTAAAAAAACAGATCAGCTTTTGAAAAATGATAAAATATTTACAAGAAATGTTGGTTACATGGAACTGTAGGTACGTTAAATCTATGAGTTGAGTCTTTTAAACTCATCGAAAATTATGACTTTTATTTGTTTTTAAATAAGTTATTTGTTTTTAAATACTGTAACTACTTTACTTTTTTGCAATTGCTCGATTTCGAGCAACATGTAAACTAGTTACACTATAATTACAATAGACTTTGTCAAGTTTAAACAATAGATAGTCAATTGAGTGAGGTAGGCTCATGCTTTTAACAATGGTTCTTTATTGCAGCAACTTAAAATTTATACAGATCCTCCTACCAGCGGTACCTCATGTGAACATGAGTGGGACGCTATGAGCAATGCGCCAAGTCCTTCACAGCATTTCATGAGATCAAGCAAATCACACAAAGAAATGATATGATATCTTTGGCATTCAAACAAGAATTCATGGTTTTTCCCTTAGTGTCTCGGTTATGTGATCCTGGAACCCAGAATTTGAATACAATGTAATTGAGATAGCCTACCACAAAATCTAATTGTTTCGGACAATCCTGTTGCTATAATACTTACGGGAACATGTATGCACTCCTTAAGAGCAAAGACATAATTGACCGTGCCATTTTGTGTTAAAAAATTAAGACTCGGCCTACTACAAAATTAATACTATAGTGCCATCATGGACAATATTCCTGGTCAGTGCCAACAATAATTAAGCTGCGATAAGGTACTTACGGAAAACGACGCTGGGCAAAATAGTTACTATACCGAAAAAAGTGGTTTATCTTTTGGGGATGGGATTGGTCGATAACTTAGACCGGTTTGGAAAGATAAAATAAAAAAATGGAGGGATCGCTTGCTTGTGGTCCTTTTGTCCTTGGATAGATGAGAGGCTTACCTTGTCCAAAATGATGTATTTAACCTTGATGATATAGCAACACATTGCCTCTTCAATTATCTTATTGGTTAAGGTTAGAATCTGTTTATTACATAAAACAGCAATACACTCCTAAGAAACCATCGCTTTAATAAAAAAAGGCTCACATGCATTTCAACAAAGCTTAACCTCTTTTGAGCACAAACCCAATCATATGAAGTTATTTCAGACACTGTTTATATTAAATTCAAATTATCCTTAAATTTAACACAATTGTCAAAGAATATCTGGCGACACCAAGTTTCTATGACATTGACAGCTAGTTAAGTTTCTAGATATTCCTGACCAATCCAATTCCTTGTCTCAAAGGACCACAAATGGAAGATTCATGTTATATCATGCTTAGTTAAGCGTGACCATCTGAAGAGTTAAAAAATAGGCCCTACTGTTGACCATATTATTTAATAAATAGCCCCTAAACTTGTTATGGTTCTAATTTAAAAAGGAGTTAAAATGTTTTCCCATTTTTAAAGTGAAGTGGATTGTGTAAGACCCTCAAGAACATTACTTAAACTGCTGCCTAAACGATCTAGACCTAGCCTACTAAAGTTTGAATTCCTAATATGACCCTGCCATCACCTGTACCTATTTATAGTGGTAGAAATTTGGAAATCCCACAACATATTCACGGTGGTTCCGTTGTCCGTCAGTCTCAGGGTTGCTACTCATTCCGATTCGGTTGAGACAGTCTTGATTTTGGTCCCTTGTGTTAGTGTTTATGCCTATGTAATTGGGGGGAATGTTTCGTGTTTCCGTGTGCTATGTGTTTTGTTACCTATTTATTAAACTTTTGACGAACTCCACTACGAGGAATATCTAATCCCAATGAAGACTACTTGACGTTGTTCCGACCTGAAGATGTACTCCTTTGAAGCATGAAACAGCTGTAGTCTCACATACTACGAAGGATCGTTTTGACAGTAACAAGGTATTTTAAACCACTATATAGTTAATTCAGACGATCTAGAGGCCATTCCATCATGAAACTAGTCTGGATACCGACTGAGCCACCGATTCGCCACTCGAACTTGCTTTTATGCAGTGCCGGCCGCTATCAAAAGCTCCCAGTGTTTTGTTATAGCAGCTTTAGGACAAAAATGAATTTTTTCCTCAAGTTAATAATTTGCCACGCTCTCAGATGACGATGAAAATATCCTCGTGATCGTGGGAGATGATCATGATTTTGCGGCAATTGAGGGTGGCAATGATGATGTATCCTAAGTAAGTGGATACGACAATCACGCCGCAACCTGCAGTGAAGTTCTACCTAAGAAGCGAGGGCCGCTCAGGTTAATTGAGCCTACCGCAAGAACCCTAAATCCGGCAATGCATTTATGTTTGTTTTCGTTATGTTTCAGTTCGTCACAATGGTGACAGCTACAACAGACTTAAGAACGCATGCAGCAAAGAAATTGGGGAAAAAATGAAAGTAAGTTCTTGAAATTTTAGTGTTATTAAATAAATATAGCTCATAATAAATGTTAGCTAGTGCACCTGTTGCTTGAATTCAAGCAATTGCAAAGTATTACAGGCATTATTTTAAAATAAATAACAATCATAATTTCCGATTACTTAAAAGAGTCAACCCAAAGATAATGTAATCAATCACTCCACTCCAGTTATCGAAACTGAAAACGGAAAACGAGCTCACTCTTATTACGAACGCTTTTGTGCGTATCATGTGTTTACTATGAACAGCTGTTAGTGCAAATTATTCGTCTGTTTAAGTAAACAAAATCTTTTCTTCGTAAGAAATACATTAGGATTTTCATGGACTGTGGGGCAAAGCCCGAGGACTTTTATTACAGGAATTGGTAAAAGGGGGCGTCTACACAAAAAATTCTTAATTTTGACACATCGTTTGTAGAAATCCATCCATTATTAAGGGAGGAGTAGTGTTTTGTAAAAAATTCCTTCACATATTATACAGGGATCGGCAAAATGATTTGATGGTTTTCTTTGCCGCCCTGTCGAGCGAATGAGTGGCGTAGGGTGGTGGGAATAGGGGCGTTACAAAGCCAACGTGTGGACATTTTTAGTAGCCATGGAGCCGTGGGTTAGCTGAGAAACATGTATTTGTAGTAGAAGTGTTTTTAAAAGTGGAAATTCCTGTGTAGCTGTTCAGTACACGTTTCAATGTGGGTTAAAGAAGAAAAATCCCAACTCGAAACACCATTTTGCTGTGGGTGGGTAACTTTAGAACAACTAGTTCAGCATTGAAACTAAAATCTGACTACGTGGTGTGAAACTAAAGAGAGTGAGGAAGACTGTATGTTGTGGTTGAAAGTGTGATTCGTCGCTCATAATGAAAATGTTGTTACACGCAAGAAAATCAATCACTACTTGTTCTGAAAAAGAGATGCGCTTTGCATAACCCCTGGGTTTCAACTGTTGCACAATTGCCATTTTGTATGAATGGAAATGCAGGTCGTATTGTAATACTCTTCTACCGAGCGGCCAGACAAGTACAGAGCTGCAGCTTAACGTTTAGGCCACTGAGGACTAACTTCCACAGCTTCTCTTACTCTCTCAGCGTTCTCTGGCGTCCGGGCTGACCTTGGACTTGGACAGCCTGTTGGCTTTTTTTCAATGCTGAACTAGTAGCTCTGAAGTTACCTACTCACAGCAAAATGGTTTTTTGAGTTGGGACTTTTCCCCTTGGACCCACATTGAAATGTGTACTGAACCGCTACACAGGAATTTCCACTTTTAAAATCACTTCTACTACAAATACATGTTTCTCAGCTATCCCACGGCTCCATGGCTACTAAAAATGTCCAAGCGTTGGCTTTGTAACGCCCCTATTCCCACCACTCAATTGTTGTGAATTGTTTTTTGTACCCTACGCCACTCATTCGCTCGACAGGGCGGCAAAGAAAACCTTCAGATCATTTTGCCGCTCCCTGTATATAGGAACAAGAGGTTCTACCCGCGAATTCACGGGTGTACAGAACCACCATTTAATTTAATCAACTTTGACTTTATATTTCATTTTAAGGACCCAAGTTCGAGAAATTATTATCTGAAAGAATGTTAAAAGCAGTGGAACCTTCATACCTTACGTTGCCGAGGTGGGTATCGTACGATAGTACTGAGCTCGCCGCTCTCTTTCACGACATACTTTAATACTTTACTTTAACACTTTTCAATGAAATGGCGACCTGTAAAAGATCGGTGACAACCTCTTAGAACGAACAACATACATGGTTTGTTGATCTCATATTCATCGTTTTTCGAACACCTTTAAACAGCTAGAAAGCTTCACTGTTCATTCATCGCACCTCTTTTAAGAACATAAAAGTAAATAATAAAATATGTAAACAAAAATGTAAACAAACAAACTATGTTGTCAATTGCATTGGCCAGCTGTTGTTAAGTAAATTAATCAAATAACCTTAACTTCCAAAACATGCAAGGCGTAGCCCTATGTAAATCAGCCTGTGGGGCAGAGCCCTTAGGGAGTTCGTTCATATCATCACTGTTCGGCAAATCTACACACTCTAAGATTCACTTTGGTATGCCATATGCCTATATTTTTATTTGGTAAATGACCTTTACCGTTTAGGCCTACATAAAATGTTATTGTATCGCTTAAATAATATAATAGATAATATCTTTTATTCCCTAATAAAAAACCTTGCTAAGGAGATAAAACACATACCGGTACTTAGTAGCTTATTAAAGGGAAGTGGAGAAAATTATCAATGAGAACTTGAAAGATGTTTGTGTTATAGCAAAGAGGAAGGGGTTTAATAAAAGGATTTGAATTACTCACGACAAATTCAAACTCCTAAGAGAACAGAAGCAATATGAGAGTGAAAATTTAAAAACGTACGTTTTCAGGAAAAGCACTTTGCAAATTTTTTTCCCCTTTTTTCAAAACTTTTATTATTTTTTTTATTTCATTATCATTTGAAGTTTCATAAAATGTCCATGGTAACGCAATATCTTTGGTAGTTTCTTTTTAAAAGAGCATCTTTAGTGGAAAAACACAAAATCCTGTCACGACCATAACGGACGTTTATATGAATATTAAAAATAGTTAATATTATTTTTATAGCTATGTTTTGCTATAAACTAATTTACTTTTATGACCATTATACAATAAAAAGGTCACTGAGCTTTTGGTATATTTGGTCTTTCTAGAAAAAAATAATAAAACTCAAAAAATTGAAAAAAAGCCAATAAAATCTTCTTAAGTTTGTATAACTCCGAAAAAACTTACCTGAGACCCGAAAAATCGTTATGTTTGTATAGAGGTGTGCATCTTTTGTGTATAAAACATTAAAATATGACGATATTTTAATTTTTTTAATTTTTATGATAGAAATCATAAACGTGATGGTCAGGGACAAGCGGTACGGTCGTGAATTGTCTGGAAAAATCTAAATCTTTCTAAACAATCCTTCAATTATCCTGTTAGTTATAATAAAAATATGTGTTTCAATTGAACTAAACTGCTCAATTTACAATTATATTAAAGTTATTGTCACGACCAAACACATTATAATCCATAAGGCTGGACTGGTCGTGAAAAAACCCACGATGGTCGTGAAACTTTGGTCGTGATATTACGTGTTATTTGGCTCTGTTCTGGCGGTAGCCCTGCACCTCATGTTCGAGGATACAAAGTGGACTTCTAGGTTAATCTAGCAATTGAAATATCTTATAAACAAAAATTAACACCATGTCTACTTCATCGAATGACTACGTACGGTCATGGACACACCAAAATTACAAAAAACACAATCTTTCCTTTATTAATCTTGTAATTCCTCCTTTCAACTCGAAACGACCGGCACTACAATCCTGACGTACACCCCGAACTAGTCTCTAAAACCAACTGACTCCATTGACGCCAGGCTTGCCACTGTCGTGCTCCAAAGTTGAAAATTTTTCCCAAATGGTTGTGACGCCAAATCGAGGGACAGACTTATTTTGTCATGGTAGTCAGTTTGCAATGACAATAAAATTATAATATGCTCCTTTTTTGTAAATTTAATAACCATTGATGACATAAAAATATGGCTTTATATATTTTGACATGAATAATTAGTCTAAAAACAGCGTGAAAGTTGGAAAATGTACCCTAGGGACACGTCATGGTCGGGAATTTCGAGACTTTAAAAATACGAAAAAAATACCTAGAACCTATTTAAAACTAAATAAATGTGTGTAACATGTTGCCCCCGTCCCAAAAAATATTAAAACACATAATAATAAACTACAAATCCAGTATCTAGGAAGTAAGAGGCCAGGGACATAAAAACGTACGTTTTTAAATTTTCACTCATGAACTTCTTAAGGGTTTTAAAGTTAAGCTTTAAAACTTTCATAAGTTTTAAGTCTCATGTGAACATTTAAATTCAAACTAGTGGCTTGTAGGGACATAAGTCCCTAAAAAGCTGAAATGTAAAACAACATATTGCAATTCCGGTATTTAAACAAACTCAGAATAGCATTATCTATGTGTCAGAATAGGCATCCCTACACCATATCTTTTGTGTAAAAACCAGTTTGTTGTTCTTCTTTGTTTGCTTTTGTTGATGTCATTTTCAATAAATAATTTGAATCACTCCAGTGGTTTAACATGAAAAGGCAGCAAACATATCATTGTTTGTGAATAAATACTGGTTTACTAAGGTAGCTTTGGTATTGTGGTTAATGAGGATAAATAAAAGCTTCTCTGTTTGGAATTTTAAAAATTAATTGGAGGTTCGCCTTCAGATGAATTGAAGACGCCTGCAATTTCATCTGCAGTAGGCTTATTATACCTACGACGATCCATATTTATCCTGTCTACAAACCTAAGTTCTAATTCACTGTCACCTTGTACAACCATTTCTTCCGAAGCTCTTTTGTAAATTTGTGCAAATGGATTTTCTAATAGAATTTCAGCTAGTTTCGACAATATTTCAGGTTTTAAGTCACTATTTTCTCGACGCCTTTGACGAATTTCTGTTGCTGTTGATGTGTCAATAATGTACAATTGGCCATACACGGGGTCTTCATCATGTTGAGGCAGCAAATCTGAGATTGAACGATAAATCTGTCCTTGAATTTTGAAACAGTATGGTCCTTTTCTTGGAATATCTTTCTTACTGGCTGAAAAATAAGCAAAAGCCATCGCACTGTTGTATTGTCGAATGAATTTATACAGTTGTGGGCTCTCTTCAAACAAATTTTTAAGTTCTACATTAGTTTTTGGCTGAGGAAGGTTAATAAGTCCGTTATGGCAACATGTCATAAAATTATTATTCGTTAGTTCTTCTCTAAAATGAAGAGCACTACATTGAATGCACTCTTGGTCCAGTAATCCTGCATCATGGATATTTACATTTCTCTCGTTTACCATGGGTCTCCTAAAAAGGGGTTGTAACATCTATTATATTATTAAAGTGATACAATCAAATTTTATGTAAACGGTTAAGGCAATTTACCAAATAAAAATATAGGCATATGGCATATCAAAATGAAGCTTTGAGCGTGTAGATTTGCCGAAAAGTATTGATATGAACGAACTCCCTAAGGGCTCTGTCCCACGGGCTGATTTCCAAAGGGCTACGCCTTGCATGTTTTGGAAGTTATTATTCGATGAATTTAGTGAACAACAGCTGGCCAATGCAATTGACAATATAGTTTGTTTGTTTAAATTTTTGTTTACTTATTTTATTATTTACTTTTATGTTCTTAACCCTCCGAGGGTCACGCGTCAAAAAATAGACGCACAACACACTTTGTGTAGGGTCACGCGTCTAGTTTAAGACGCACAAACATCGTTTACGGCGAAGGCTCTATGACTGACTGAATCGGATTGAACTGGATCGAGTTAGGTATCGTTCTTTTCATTAGATTCTAAGCTTTCTAAAGGTCTGTCTCTAAGCGCTGTTTGTTCTCTGAGCCGATCGTAATTGTTAGCAGACAGCTGACGTGCATATTAGTAAACAGGTTACTTAACCTCGGACCGATGACTGATGTGTTTTATTATGTTTATCATTGTTTTAGTGTTAAAAATCAAAAGTAGTGATATACGTGGTGCATTATAAGAAGATTTAAGTGGTTTTGAAGTGCTGGTTGATGATCCTGAAGAAGTAGGTAGTGATATTGATGTAAATTATCAGCCAGATTCCTAGCTATGGTTAGGCTATGCATTCTTAGCTAAACGCTATGTACTGAAATCCGTTTTTCGCTCATAACTTATTTATTTGATAACTTACCTCGCTATATGATTATATATTTGTAATCCTCATTAAATTTAGAACAAAGTGGCTATTTTCAAATATTTATAGGCCTATAATTTATACAATTTCATTGAGCGCAAACTTATTTTTTTTTTGAAAATTTTCGAAATTATATTTTTTTTACCTAAAAATTTTTTTTTGAAAAAATGTTCCTTATGTTTTATATATAATATTGAAGCCCATGATTTTCCAAACAAAATGGTATATAGAACATTAGAATTAACATTGTTTTAAGCTTCTCAGATCCGTTTTAATAAAACCTTGCAAAGGGGCCAAAAATAGGTGGACATTAAGGCCTAAACTATGGACCTTTGGAGGGTTAAAAGAAGTGCGGCGAATGGACGGTGAAGCTATTTCTAGCTGTTAGATACAAGTGAGTGATTAACCCTCCGAGGGTCACGCGTCAAAAAATAGACGCACAACACACTTTGTGTAGTGTCACGCGTCTAGTTTTAGACGCACAAACATCGTTTACGGCGAAGGCTCTATGACTGACTGAATCGGATTGAACTGGATCGAGTTAGGTATCGTTCTTTCCGTAATATTCTAAGCTTTCTCCAGAGGTCTGTCTCTAAGCGCTATTCATTTTAGTTCCGAAAATATTGTAGCAGACAGCTGACGTGCGTGTATTTGTAAACAGCTAGGTTCCCCCGGACCGATGACTGATGTGTTTTATTACGTTTATCATTGTTTTAGTGTTAAAAATCAAAAGTAGTGATATACGTGGTGCATTATAAGAAGATTTAAGTGGTTTTGAAGTGCTGGTTGATGATCCTGAAGAAGTAGGTAGTGATATTGATGTAAATTATCAGCCAGATTCCTAGCTATGGTTAGGCTATGCATTCTTAGCTAAACGCTATGTACTGAAATCCGTTTTTCGCTCATAACTTATTTATTTGATAACTTACCTCGCTATATGATTATATATTTGTAATCCTCATTAAATTTAGAACAAAGTGGCTATTTTCAAATATTTATAGGCCTATAATTTATACAATTTCATTGAGCGCGAACTTATTTTTTTTTTTGAAAATTTTCAAAATTATATTTTTTTTTACCTAAAAATTTTTTTTTTAAAATGTTCCTTATGTTTTATATATAATATTGAAGCCCATGATTTTCCAAACAAAATGGTATATAGAACATTAGAATTAACATTGTTTTAAGCTTCTCAGATCCGTTTTAATAAAACCTTGCAAAGGGGCCAAAAATAGGTGGACATTAAGGCCTAAACTATGGACCTTTGGAGGGCTAAAGGTGATCGAAACACAATAAATATGGGATTAAAACCATGTATGTTCTTCGTTCCAAGAGGTTGTCACCGATCTTTAACAGGTCGCAATTTCATTGATAAGTATTAAAGTAAAGTATTAAAGACGTCGTGAAAGAGAGCTGCGTTTACAGGTACAACATCGGCCAACCTTAGGACGTAAGGTATGAAGGTTCCACTGCTTTTAACACCCTTTCAGATGACAATTTCTCGAACTTGGGCCCTTTAAATGAAATATAAAGTCAAAGTTGATTAAATTAATTTAATGGTGGCTTCTGTTCGCCCGTGAATTCGCGGGTAGAACCTCTCGTATCTTGATTAAGTTCGTCATTATCTACTCTTGCTCTTCTACGCGCACTGTCATTCCTATGAACAGCTCCCCGCCTTTGTGGTCTTCCCCTGGCGTTCATATTAATTACAGTACTTATAATGAAAAGAATATATATCCAGCAGCCTACATACCACAACATCTTGAATCCCTGGTGATTTTATAAAAGTATGATCGAATATGATTACTCTACGTTGTATATTCACCGCACTAAAAAAATATTTACTTACGAAGGAATGCAAATACACCATTTTAGAACCAATAACATTTGTTTTTTATTTTAGTTGTATATATTAACACAACCTTAACCTTAAAATGTGTAGAAATATAAAAAAAACAACATCATTTAAAATAAACTTGAACATATGGTTTAAAAAAAAAAAAAAAACAGAAGTTAGATTTAATTTCGACTCTTTGATTATTTATACAGAATATTTATTCTATGTCGTTTATTCCTTTAACACGACAATAACGTAAAAGCATGAAAAAATGAAACTTGAGTATATGATTTAAATATAAACTAAGAATGGAGAGGTTTTTCCGATTAATCTTCAAGATTTCAGTTTTATTATAGTATACATTTCATAGTAGACTGGCTAAAAGTAAACCAAATATGCGTGTATTGATCACTGTTTTCAAGATATAGCACGATCAGCTGTATTGAAGTAAACAGAAATCAGCAGTAAATGACTTCTGTTTTAATTTCAAAACATGTAAACAAACTAAACCCCATGTTGTTTTAATGGGAAAAGTTTTATTCTGTTGCGAATTTATGGTAAAAAAATAAGAAAAATGAATAGTTTTCCCTCAAAATTCACGTCAAGACCTTTAAAATAAGACCCCTCCCATCCTTCTACGGCCATCCAGTCACTCACAATTTCTTTACAAAAATTTGACCTACGGAATTATATATATAGATTAATTACGGTATAAACTTAGAATTTGTATTTGCAAGTTATACGTTCAGTTTAGTATAAGGTTCTATTCAATTGCAGAAAACGAAAAAGGGAACACCTAAAGATGTAACACCAAAAAAGGTAGACATAAAATCAATTAATACCTTCTTTGCTGACCACAGCTATGTGGATGGCTTCATTCCCTCCACTGCTGATACTGATCTTTGGGACCAAGTTTCAAAGGAATATACTCCTGCCGAGATCGAAGCTTTAGCTCACATTCATAGGTGGTTTCAACACATTAAAAGTTTAAACTCAATTAATCATTCATTTCAGCCTTCCCAGGTAAGCAAGTCTTGTTAGCTTGCCTGCTATAGTTGCCTGCTGTGTGTTATTTTCGTCCTAATGATCGTTGTGCTTCAGTTTACCTAATGTTTTTATTTCTATTTCATCTTCCGTCTTTTTATGACCATTGATCATATTTTAATGGGTTTAAATTTTGATTCTGGACTTCAAATATTTCTAGTGTCAAATAACAACACTTTTGCTGTGAGAAATGGTTCAGTATTAAATGGCCAACCTTTATAGTCTGTGGTTTTTAGCCTAGAGCAATGAACACATTCACCTCTTCCCATATTGAAGTGATCTGTAATTGTTGACCTACTACTACTACTCCTAGGCAGACCAACTACTCACTCACACTGTAAGAGCCTGTTATCCATGGTCCTTCTAAGTCCAAGAAATATCACCCCCTTTCACTCAGTGAGAAATAACAGTCAGGAATGTTCCTTGGCTCTTCGGTAACAGTTGAAATAATACTATTACTATTATTTTTATCACTTATTACTGCCTTGTCCAGTACACTTTATCCAGGCATTCTAATTCTAAAGCAGGATAAGTCTTTGTTATTTTACTCCATAATTTTTATCAGTTTATTCTATCAGTAGGTCCAATCCTCTAGACCAGGTTCTATTTTTATATTGTTTGTTGATAACTATTTTCTTCTTGATCTGTTTGTTACTATATACATACAAGCCACATACTACACCTTACGTCGCTTGATTATCGTTACATTATCTTTTCATTATGGGCACAAAAATAATAGAATTAACTACAAGCCAGGAAATAAAGTTTCCAACATGAAGTTTGGGTTTCTCTGCAACATATTTTGGTTTATTCTAAACGTAACTTAGTAAATATCAATTTAATAAAATTCACTGTAGATGATTTTTACTATGATTTGTTATACATATATTATTGTTTATTTATTATTATTATAACCTAATAGACATTATAAGGGTTGTAATGTCTATTCAATGTGTTTGGAATGTACCCTTCTACAATAGATATAACGTTATTTAACAATTTTCTGCCGTAACAATAAGCACAGATAGAATATTTATATTATTTTGCGATGCTCGCTATAATGGGAAGAAATTATCAGCAGGTTAGTTGTTTTACTTGCTTGTTCAAATAGTTAAGATGGCATTACAAATATAACAGGGTATTCACAGGAATGTATTTCCAATATTAGTATTTATTATATTAAGTTGAAATATCATGCCCACCTCTACCTCCAACTAAGCTTCTTCTAATTGAGCCATAAGAACACACCAGTGTACACATCTTTTTGACTATTTTAACCGAGCAAATTTGAAGAACCAGGTTGTGAAACACCAACTTACTGTATAAGGATTACAAAGAATGAAGTGTGTTAATTTACTTATTTTGATATAAAAGTCCTTCAGATGGCTGATAAGCTAAATACTCAAGATTTTTCCACCCAAAAATATTTAGCTCAAAAGGTCAGACAAAGACAATTTTTCTTTTAATACTCTCTAAAGGAAAAAAATTGGAAATCTCCTTCATGTACTATGGGGATCATCTTTTTTGGTGATAGTTTGTTAGATTCTTTTTTAAATTGATGTAATTAGTTAATTTTGCATGCGATACAACGTATTTATTTTGCTTTTTATGATAGAAAATTTAAAAACTAATTTTTAAGAAATCAACTAGATCTTTGCACATACAATTTTTTTGCCTGTTGAAATACAATTTCTCATTTCAGATGTAAGTTGTAGCAGTAGTGTAATATATTTTTATTGTAAGTGCAAGGCCTCACTAGAAAAACTATAAATCTTTTTTTAGCAAGTGTTTTCTAGTGGGGCCTTGGTAAGTGCCACATAATGCAAGGACTGCTTGTTTGCTGTAAGCAACAATCTGCACACTACACATTTGTAATTAATTAAAAAAATACTCCAAGCTGATAAAAAAACCCTTAGTCAATTAATGTTACACTAGTGTACCTGTTGCTCGAATTCGAGCAATTGCGAAACATTACAGGCGACTAAAAGATTATGGAAATACTCACGATCTACACAACAGTTAGATATAATCAAAATCTTTTGTAAATATCTTATCTTTTTTCAAAAAGCTGATCTTGTTTTTTTATTGTTTTTAGTGTAAAAAAACATTATTTCTATTTCTTCTACTTGGTTCTGTTCTATGACTTTTTCTATGTTTCCATTGTTTTCAAATCGGTATTTCAATGATTGCTCAAGAAATGTAGCACAGTGTTAATTCAGTTTTATTTTTAGCCTATATCAAATTGTCCAGGATTTCTCGCTCTTTTCCATTGTAATAATTACATTAACCCAAGTTTTGTGTACATATACAATATGCCAAAGAATATCACCTACGTACAATCTCCAAGAAGTGGTAGAAAAGGCAGAAACCAACCCATACAATAGATATAAGTTAACTCCATAAGAAATAATTTTAAAAGTTACTGTGATATTAAGATTTTCCACTGATTTGGTAATAGAACATTATGCAAAACATGACACGATGCAGAAGGAAATCAATTTTAAAATCAGAAAAACCCATTGCAAATACTGTACTTCATTTTGACAAATTCAATAAATCACAATTTAAATATAACAGCTGGTTCATTAAAAGTAGTGTAAAATTATCCATATGCTCGAAATGTAAAGAAAATTGCAGAGTAAACTTTAAAGGGCTCTGGGGCAGAGCCCCAAGGAAATTTACCTCGTTTCTCTTTTGAGGGCTCACCTACAGACCAATACCTTTCTTTAGACACCCCTACCAAGTTTCTACGTCCAGCCGTTCTCTCAAATTAGCTGTGACAAAAACCTTGTTTTCCTCCATAAGAATAACATGGGATGGGAATTTAAAGGCCACTGGGGCAGAGCCCCAAGAGAATTCTCCATGTTTCTCTTTTGATGGCTCATCTACAGACCAGGACCTTTCTTTAGACACCTCTACCGAGTTTCTACGCCCAGCCGTTCTCTCAAAATAGCTGTGACAAAGAAAAACAGTTTCAAATTAATATATAGATAAATACATATTGTGGGTGTGTAACATATATCCTCAAAACACTTTTTTATAAGTAGTTGAACATTTATTATATCTGATATATTCCAGATTAAATTGTAATTTATTTTTAGTGTCATATATTAATATTAGACTATTTACTTAGAGTCGGGACCACATAAGTTTGCAGTTGAGGGAGGAGCCTATTTACCATATGGGTTTGAATGAGCCAATGAGAACCGTGTGGTGTTGCCAAATCCCAAATCTAATAATACCAGCTGGTTTGAAAATATTGCTTAGTATATTTTATTAGTGCGATGTGGCAACGTTGCACTAGCCTTGTCTTGTGATTGGCTGTCACCAACTGCAAACTTACCTGGCCCCGACTCTAGTTTTGTTTATAACGTAGCTTTTATACAACAGTGTGATTTAAATGTCATAATATTTCAGATGCAAGTTTTTTTACAAGGGATGGTTTTAATTTTTTTGTACTTTTGTTTTAGAAAAAAGAACTTGCTGGAGATGATGATTTGCCTTCTTCTATAACAGTTGACAACTTGACGAATGATCTATTGAAGACACTTTCTATCAATCAAATAAAAAAATTCCGCACACTCTTGGACAAAGCAATAACAGAGAACGAAGGAAAAATTGCTGCTGCAGAGCAGGCTAGAAATGATGCTTTGTCAGAGATTGGCAACCTGCTTCACGAGTCTGTGCCCATCAGCAATGACGAGGTAATTGTGACTGACTGTAAGCAAAATGTATTTGTTGATACCAGAATTTTAAAATTAAGAATACACAACAATGAACAAAATCAAATATATTAAATATTTGCCTAAGTAAATGAAACAACAAATTTTCATGCTCCTATTTGAATGACAGTTGATTAATTTTAAACATAAAATAAATTTCTTAAGTGTAAAGCTTAGACATGATTCCAACCCACAATTTTTTAGAGTGATCTTAAATTGATTTCTCACTAATGAAGGTCATCTACATAAACTGCTGCTTAACAGTATGAACCAGAATGAATCGTCTACATCATCTTTGTTAATTGTCATTGGATCTAAACGTACAACTTTTGAAACTCTACTGGCAAAAAACCTTTATCTGTTGTGCCTTTTAGCGAATTTCTCTATAGGGAAGTAGCTAATACCGTAGGGCCCTTTTCACATTGAAAAATCAGCCAGTATATCAAAACAACTGAAAAGTGCAAGGTCAGTATTTGCTAACCCATTGGCCTAGATATACAGAATTGTTGTTCTGCTTAGGTCCCAGGTGTCAGACATAAGTATTACAATGGATTAATGCAGTCTTCGCCTCACAAAAGTAAATGTCACTTTTACCACTAGTTTTAATAGAAACCCTTGCCAACAGACCGCCACCGCCCACCACCACCCACCTCCGCTCGAGCGAACACCATTACCGCAACGATACGTTGTACAGCCATCGGTCTCGGTGGTGTAGTAGTGCACCGGGCTGATAATTCAAAGGTAGCCGCTTCAAAACCCACCGGAAGCATCAACTTTTTGATTCGATTTTTTCATTATCAGCAAGTTTGGTTGGTTTGGTTACATTATGATAGTTTAATTTTATAATTAAAAAAATATATAATTGATTTTGAGACATTTATAATTTTATTTTATGAACAGAACTATTTTTGTTATTAGTAAACCTTCATTCGATATTTTCATAATCAGCGAGTTTGGTAAGGTTATGACAGTTAAATATAAATAAATATAACCTACAAACGATACGTTTTGACAGCGACAATGATAGAGATAAGAATTTCCCACGAACAGTTTGGCTATGCACGGTATGATGCGTTCTGCACGGCGCGGTGGTGAGCGGTGGCGGTCTGTCAGCAACGTCTCGTGTTTTAATTGTTCCCTTCTTGCCGGGTTTTAAGCTTTTGGTTATCCTGGTGGTATAAGCAGGATTGCATTGTATTGTCTGTTTTGCAGGATGAAAATGCTGTTGTTTGCACGTTTGGGGACGTGAGTGTTCGCAAAAAGTACTCTCACGTAGACCTCGTGCATATGGTTGACGGAGTGGAGGCTGATGCTGGTGCAATAGTTGCTGGAAGTCGAGGGTATTACCTCAAGGTAAGTTCTGCTGTTTTCCTCTTTTCTATTGCCAGCCTCATTTAGTCCTCATTAACTCAATAAAGTATATCAAAACTGTTTTAGCCAAAGTTTCAGATATAGCTTGCTGTTTATAGCTGTAATAAAAATAACTGTTGTACTTGTAACAGGGACCACACTCAACTACATAAACCTTTAAACCATAAATGAACCACTAATTTTGTCAACCGTGAAATAACCAAAGGCTGTGAATTTTATGGCCACACCCTTAATGGGCCGATTCCCATCCTCGATTTCACAAAACTTTAAATATAAACGGTTTTGAAGAACTTTGTGACTCAGTATTCGTAGTGAAATTGTAATCACATTCAAAACTAATAAAAAATCATTTCACTTTAAACAAATTTCCCTTGGGAATAAGCTATATGACTGAGATCCGGGACCAATTTACTTTTTTATGCTCCAGAGGCCCTAAAAAATATTGATTTAAAAAAATCATATTTAGATACTTAATTTTTTTTTTGGTAATTAGACACAGTTTTATTTGTATTAATTGTTAGAATTTATTACTATTAATTGTGAAGGCCTATTATTAAGATATTATTATCAGTAAACAAGTTCTTTAAGCCTTTGTAACTATAAACTTGCTGTAGGCTTAATGTGCATTAATCACGATGACATTTAGACTATTTTGTCATCTGCAATCCCGGAGATATCATAATTGTTTTTTGCGTTTGTTGCGACATCGGAAATTTAAAATCACACAATCTTTGAAGACTATTTCTGCGACCGCGAGAACAAAAGCTAAGCTTGGCTTTATTTCCTGACTTGATGCAGATCATTCAAGCTTTCAGTCACTGGTAAGCCTATCATAATTTAGTTAGGATTCACATTCACATCCGATCTGGCCGGAGTCCAGCAAATTCAAGAAAATCACTGCAGTTTCCTCACACTGCTCCGTTTTATCTAAGGTCATCTACAAAATGCTGCAATCCTGTCATGATTCTGTCTATATCTAAACTAAGACCTTTAAATGTTATAAATGTCACAAAAAAAATGAAAATCAGCATGGAAATACTGTAAATAAAGAGTACGCCTAATGTAGTTCTTTAAGTTGACTGTTCAAAATATAATTAAATGTGAGAAAATGTCGGCCATGTTATGATCTGCCTTTGTCTAACTTTTCAGCCTTGTCAGTTCACACCGATAGCATACAAGTTCACCTCTTCATTATAATGTCATGTTAATATAATGTTTCAGGGCCCCTGCGTGTTGATGCAACTGGCCCTTGTCCAAATGGCTCTCCATCGCTGGATGGCCAAGGGATATGTTCCCATCTACACACCTTTCTTCATGCGTAAAGAGATCATGCAACAAGTCGCTCAGCTGGCTCAATTTGATGAAGAGCTATACAAGGTATTGTTAAAACACACTTGGTGTCTGTTCATCTGCAGATGGGACATAAGCGTGCAAAAGTCCAAAAGCTGTTGATAAACACTGAAAACACCGAATCCTCTGTCCACTGGATGGACGATCCACATCTCAGGTTTTTAAAAATGTCACGGTACAATTTCAGTCTTGTGTCCTTTTAGACATACGTGATCCATCACCTCTCCTATTAACTGTTCCATGTTTAAATTATAGTATACTTACTTACTCCAGGGCACTTTAAATCGGAGGTGATATTTCGCCGCACCAACAAATCTTCTGGAGGTGTTATCCGGTCTTCTGCATTTCCCTCTACTGCTCTAATTATCTCCATGTCTGCATTCACTTGTTTCCACCATCTTTGTTTTGGTCTTCCTCGAGGTCGCCTTCCAACCGTATTGCCCTTTAATACTCTTCTCAGTCTGCATTCTACATCTCCTTTCCATACGTGTCCAGCCCATCTGATTCTTCTGCAATCATATCTGTGCATAGTAATACAGTAGAACTCCAATACTATCCAATTAAATTGGGACCGGACCCCATTTGGATGGTTGGATTTTTACTGAAATTCAGAGCATTTTTAAAATTTACACTTTCGGAGTATGGATTTTCTGTGACCGCATGAGATGAGGTCCTGAAAGGGGCAAAATATCAGTTTAATGTGTACTTTTTAGTGTTCTATTGACCTTCTGGGACTCTTTATCCAGGTGAGTTAGTTGTGTATCCTTTCTTTCTCCTCCATAACAATTCTAAAGCCAAGTTGCTTTTTTTCCTTTAAAAAACTGAAGAAAATTTTTGCAATAGTTTTTCAAATATCATTAACAAGGCCATCTTTATAAATAATAAATATAATCAATGTTCATTGTTAACATTATATCACTGTATCAGTAATTACTCTGTATCATCATTTCATGTTGAGGTTAAAGTGCTAGAAACAATGTATTACCCAATGTTGTTATCTTTGGTAGCAGATAACTATTTTCATGACAGTCAAAAGAATTATGTTTACACTCTTATTATTTGCACTGATACTTTACTATTTGTGGTACAGCATTGAATGTTTTTCTTAAATTTTTATTATGCTTGTTTTATAGTTAATTAATTCTTCAGAATCCTCCTATTTAATTGAAAGAAATATCTCTAAAGCTTGACTGTACATTTGAATGGAAATGTTTAATATTTCTTATGTTCAATTATTATTATTTTACTGTGTAATAAACACAGACATTTCTATCCAGATTACTTCCATGTTCTTTTGATGAATTATTAATCAGTTACCAATCAATTATTAATATTTTTTTCTTAATCACTATCCTTTAATTAATTATCTGAATGCAAGAGCTTTGCTCAGGGAAAATATATTACCCCTTAAGGCTCCTTTGGTTTTTTTATATCCGTTTACCATATACTACTCATAATTTAGTCTATATCTTAATTTCTCACAATCTTTTGGATATGTCACATGTTTACAAAATTTCTTTAAACCTATGTCAAAAAAATTTTGATTATAAAATATTATAATTATTGTCATTGTTTTTGTCAAAACTGCCTGAAACTTTGTTTGTGCCAGCTGATATGTGATACCGAGGATTCAAGATCAGGTGATTTGCGTAGGCTGGATCATCTGCGGTCATGGTTGCAGATTATGGGTTCCCCTCCTTCTGTATTCTCCTTACTCTTCTTCACCCTTAAATCCTCGTACAGTACAACATTCCTAACCTTTCCTCCTGATATATGGCTTGTTTGGATTTGTTCTTACGACACCAATGATCCAAAATAAAACTTAACTATGCCAACACCAAAATCATGTAACAAAATTTGTCTTTTCTGCTGTAAAAACAAAGTTCATCGTGTGTAAAAGGTGTTATAGGTCTAAATAAAAAAATGTTGAGAGTAAATACTTTGTTTTAGTTCACTAATTGTATAAATTGGTTCTAACCTTTTCTTAACAATTACTGTTAAAAACTTGCAAAACAATGTATTCCCAAAATATGAAGGAAATAATGAAGGCTGTTTGATATGCTAAGCTTTTAAACCTTTTATATGGTTTGTTTGAGTTTATCTGTGCCATTGACATTTTAACATGTTTTTTTAATTCAAAACTTTATTTCTTACCATCTTAGATCTTACCATTTTACCATCTTACCATGTTAGATTGTATTATTGATTGACAACCCAATGACAAATGGCAACAGTGTAAAGATTTTTTTTTCAATTTCAATCTCTGTATTCTTTAAGAAGTATATAGTATACAGCACTTGAACATTGTCAAGATTTACTAATTATATATATAAAAATACAATTTCTTACAAAAATATATTTGTTTATATCTAGTATTGTTAAGAGAGGTGGAAAAATTCTTCTAGAGAATAAACAGCCTATTTTTTTTTATTGTGTTGCATCTCTTTCATTTATAATTCTTTAGGCATATATTTTAGAACACTCTTACCAGCAAATGATGGTTTTATCCATAAAACTTCAGTCTACCTTTGGATCGAAACAGTGATCTCAAGATTTGAATGCAAGCACTATAACCACTAAGCTTCCTGTTAATTGAATATAAACAGTATTGAACACAAACTTACAATATTTAAATGTTTAATCTTAGCACACTGAAGACAAATTTGTGAATGTATGAGTTAGTTTACCCTGAAATTAATCTTGGTGTGGAATTAACAAAAAACTCAAATGGATTTCAGGTGATTGGCAAAGGTAGTGAAAAGATAGGGGAAGTGGCTCCGGTAGATGAGAAGTATCTGATTGCTACATCAGAGCAGCCAATAGCAGCTCTACATCGTGACCAATGGCTGCCTGAGACCTCTCTACCCATCCGCTACGTAGGACAGTCTACGTGCTTCCGTCAGGAGGTGGGCTCCCATGGCAGAGACACTCGCGGCATCTTCCGAGTACATCAGTTTGAAAAGGTTTGATTATTGTATGGTAGATAAACCAAGTAATTAATATAAACATTATGTTGAGGACAGTTGCAAACTAAGAAACCCATACAAATTTTTTATTTGTATATTTTTAAATATCTCTTACTAGCAGAGTACCCGTCCTTCGTACGGGGTTGGCATATAAGTATCAAATGCTTATAGCAGTTATGAGTGAGGACATGGTTTAAGAAATTTCGGTTCTTTTTGAAGTTCGTTCGCTACGCTCACTCACCTTTAGGTTGGAGCTCGTTCGCTGCGCTCACTTTCCTTCAGGTTAGCTCGTTCGCTACGCTCACTTGCCTTCAGGTTAGCTCGTTCGCTACGCTCACTCGCCTCCAGGTTGAAGTTCGTTCGCTACGCTCACTCACCTTTTGCTGTTGTCATAAATGTAAAAGAAATAATAGTGCTAGTGCTGCACCCTGTTGGTAATCCTTGTAACTTTTAATGCTATTGAACATCATAGAACAGAACCAACTTGTTTAATTGAAACAGCTGTTGAGATTCATTAATTCCATTTCTCATAAGGTTAACATGGGAAACTCCAGAGCCACTGGGGCGGAGCCCCGAAGGATTTTTGGGATAAAAATATGCCTATATGTTAATCGGGAATGTGAGCTATCATCATGCCAAATTTCAGCCCGATCCGACCAGTAGTTTTTGAGATTAGCTCATACAAACACACACACAGACACCACCTCTTCTTTATAATAGTATAGATAGATAACATTGATGTGATACTGTGCTGGAATAATTAAATCAATTAGGGTTGGTTGTTTTCTGGAAAAAAATAACAAGCCTCAGAACCTAAATACTCTTTTAATCCTGTGCATGGTCCAGAAACCCTGTCTTCTGGATAAAAATCATGTATATAGAAACACTGCTTTAAATATTTTTGTGTTATCAATGTGACAAAGACATTTTTTTGATATTTATGTTCTCTTCTTATTCTTGATTTCAAATTTAATAATGGATCAAATGACCTGAAACTAGTATTCCTTCATTAACTAGGACTGCTTTAATAGGACTACAGACTGGCCTGGTGATTTAGCTTCCTAAGTGTTTGACTTGTATTTTGCAGATTGAACAGTTTGTGCTCACCTCGCCTCACGATAACAAGTCTTGGGAGATGATGGAGGAGATGATTGGTCTGTCAAAGCAGTTTTATGAGGATCTTGGTATTGCCTACAGAGTGGTTAACATTGTATCTGGAGCTTTAAATAACGCAGCAGCCAAGAAACTAGATCTGGAGGCTTGGTTTCCTGGATCAGGTAAATTAAAAAGTTTCAGTGTTACTATTTATGTTTTCCAGGCTCACACAATTATTGTAATACGTTAAATGTGTTTGTAAAAGAATTGGTACTAAATGATTTCATTAGTTTGATTTTTTTTTATGTGCTTGTCTAATAACTTAATCAGAATCAGAATACTTTATTCTTGAACATAAAGTACAGAATAGGCGTTCAGTTTTTGAATATATTATCTTTAGCCTAACTTTCTGGTAACCAAAAAAATGTGTGTAAATGCTATGAGGAACTGTAAAATTGTGATATATGTCCATAGCCTATGGTATTGTCCGTGGACACTAATTGTTTCTTTCCTATAACAGTTTGGATTTAGTTATCTTTTAAGATTGTCATAGTATAAGATGAACACAATTGCAGGAGATGTTCACAGTATTTTCATGATTACGAGAGCAACATTGGCCATTCACAGTTTAATAAAAATACATCAGTTTTTACTTTTGTATGCAATATTACTGCATTTCTAGCTGATCAGAACAATTTTGTCTTCCTATCCCTATTAGTTTGGCTTAGCGGACTCTGGTGTGTTAAGGTTTTACAAAATGAATTGTGTTTTTTTCTGTTAGCTTTACAAAGAGTTATTTATCTTGAACAATTCAACTTGCAGGAGCATTCAGAGAGTTAGTGTCTTGTAGCAACTGTCTAGACTATCAGGCAAGAAGGCTTCTTGTACGTTATGGGCAGACTAAGAAAATGAATGCTCAGGTAATGAATATTAAGTCATACAAACTTGTTTTGGTAGTGTGTTAACAATCTTCTAAACCGTGTAAAACTGGATAGTCTAGCCAATTCAACAATCCATTTAAATAAATATGAGGATTTAGTAAAGATAGTTGTTAACATCATTACACGAGCTATATGATTTTATTTTTATTTTAATATATTAGTAGAAATGTCTAAGAGTAGCGTAGCCTATTCCATTACTGTGTTGTTCATTTATAAATCTGATTTTACAATAGTTCATTTGTACTACAGTTTAGTAAAAGTGATTTTCAACTAAAAAAATACTAGCTAAACTTAGTAAACAGTAAAGAATACATAATATAAGTATTATAATATATGTGTTATAATATATATGTATAATATAAGTATAGACACTTCATAATATCCATGTAAATTTTAATGCTTTTCATTTTCCCACTTAAGTGCTACAAAAACAATATTGAAACTTTACAAGTGTGTTATTTATGTTTTATAGTGTTCCCACTAAGTAACACATACTTTTTTCTGCAAATTGCCCTTAGGCATTATAAAAATAACTATTCAAAAAATTATTAAAATCCGGGTGATCTTGTTTTAAACCCCAAGTGACAATGTATTTTCTTTAAGTAGTCGTAGTGTTCAATACAGATGGTTAAACATTGTGCTTTATTGATTGCAACTAGACTGTTCTATGACATTCAACCAATCAACAATCAGCCAGGTGACACTCATGTTTATCTTGCAGACTGATTATGTCCACATGTTGAATGCAACCGCATGTGCTACTACCAGGGTTATATGTGCAATATTGGAAACCTACCAAACAGAAACAGGCATCAAGATACCAGCTGCATTGAAGCCTTATTTCCCACCAGGTAATGTATATTTATTTATCTGTAATTTCAATTGATTAAAATAACAATTATTTAAATTTGTGATCGGCTCAAGTTTTAAATGTGTAAACATAAAAAAAGTAAATGACGATGTACACAGACAAAATCTTGACCGTCAAAACTAGCGATAACAGAATAACATTGACCATAAACATTAACCACACACTTGGGCTGACGTCATGTGGCAGAAGTCAAACTTGAGCACTCCTCTGTTTTTTTTTGTTTTTTTTTTTAATACTACTTTAGCGTAAACTGAGCACTATACAACAAATGTTGTTGAACATTAAGTACTAGGTATTCTGGTCACGACCGTGTCGGAATACTAGGTGGAGTTGCTAACAAAAGATTTCGGCTTATTTGCATATAGTCATCTTAAAGCTGGTGACAGGCACTAACTAACGCATGCTACGAGGACGAAGGTTATATAAGCAAGAAGGCTGCATCACATTTCCTTAGTAGGGGTGGATGGGTTGATGACGTCATGCTGGGCATTAGAGCTGGCATCTCACTGTCGTCTGGAATGTTCTATATGTTGTGTTGTGATTCCTTAGCGTCTGTGGGATTCTTTTCAAAACAGCGGTATTTCAAATTTCTTATTAACGAAGTTTATTACAACCTCCGTCTCTCGCAGCTTGCGCCAGTTCCTCTCACCAGCTCTGAAGATGGCTATCTGCAACGAAGCCGAAACGTTATCAACTAGTGTTCCACATAGTATTCCAATGCAGTCGTACCCAGAAGACCTAGTAGGCCTACTTAGTGTTAGTGATCGTGACCGTGGAAGCCTTGCTTCCTATGTTCAAATGAATGTTGTTGAAGTTAACTGAATTATGTCTATAAAATTAAGCAATTTTATGTTAAATTCACATTTACATTTTTGAGGTGATTTTTTTTTATTAATCCAAAATTTAACAAAATTTGAAAGTAAAGAACATTTATTCTCAGCCCAATGGATTAGTACCGTTATTATTGCAGGATCGGCAATTAGACCTTAAGTGAAACATTATTTTTAACTGCAAGACACAGTTTAACAATGAAAAGATAAAACAAAGTTTCCCTGTTTAATTGTAAATATGTAAATAAAATCTCGATTCTTTGTCAAGAATATCATGTCAACAATTACAGGTTAATATAAAATACCTTATCATAACTTAATTCATTATTATAGTAGGATGTTTGCAGACATTTGCCAAAACTGATTAGTAAAAACAATGTAATGGTAAATGTCTGCAAAATTCGAAGTAATGTAAAATTGCCATCACTAACTGGCGTAAAATTATTAACGGCGTAAAATAAAAAAAAGCATAAAAGTTACACATTTTACATTACAAAATCATGCTAACATTACAATATATTTATACTATGAAATTCTAATAAATATGGTATTTTGATGAAGTAAACTTTATTTAGAGTAGCCTAGTTTCAGCTCTATACGACTATTGTAATTCAAATAAATTTGAAGTTATATCATTTTCCGTAAAACCTTGCAAGTTTTATTTGTTTTGCTACCATTTTCCAAGATGGCAGATTTTGTTGAAATGGGATTTTTTGGGAATTCACAGGGAATGTTAAGGGGTGTGTCCCAGGCCCGTTTTTGACCCTGTCAGCGCCCTAGGCACATCTAATAGTAGCGCCCCTTTGCAATATATAACAGGGTGTCCACCGACCGGGAAATCTGGGAATCATGTGGGAGATTTTTGAACCGTGAATTTTGTATTTCTACCTGGAGTTTTCAATTTACCGTGATCGCGCATGACAACAGTGACGTTTCCGTGACTGCGGGAGACAATAATGTCTACACACGGCCGTGAGGGATGATCAGAATATTCCGCGATCACAGAAGACGATGATGATGTCTACAGAGCCGCAATGAATGATCAGAATATTGCCACGATCACGGAAAACGATGATAATGTCCACACGACCGCGGGAAACAGCAAGAACTTTGCCGCGATCGCGGAAGACGATTGATGATCTCCACAAAACTGCAGGACATGATTAAAATTTTGCCGCAATCGCGGGGGACGATTACCATGGATTCACGACTATACGTACGACGATACACGACGTATACGTGTGACGATACGTACGATATCTACAGGACCGCGAGAGATACAATAACTATTTCTACACGGCCACGAGGGATGATCAGAATATTGCCGTGATCACGGAAGATGATGATAATGTCCATACCACTGGAGGACATTATTAACATTTTACCACAATCGCGGGAGACAATAACGATGTCTTCATAACTGCGGGAAACGATTACGATGTCTACAGAACCACTAATACAATACAATAATGATTTCTACACGGCCACGAAGGATGATCACAATAATGCCGCGATCACTCAAGACGATGATAATGTCCACATGGCCGCAGGAAAAGATAAGAATTTTGCCTCATTCGCCGAAGACGGTTATCTCCATATGTCCGTGGGAGATGATTACCATTTTGCCACAATCGCGGGAGGCGATTAGGCCTACTATGTCCAAACGACCGCGGGGGATGATATAATGTCTTCACGGCCGTGAGAGGTGATCAGAATTTTATTGCAAAAGCGCAAGACGATGATAAAGGCCACACGATCGCGGGAAAAGGTCAAAATGTTGCCTAATTTGTGGAAGAGGATGATGATCTCCACAAGGTCAAGACCGAGGGAGATGATTACCATTTTGCCACAATCGCGGGAGGTGATATGTCCACACGACCGCGGGGGGCGATATAATGTCTTCACGGCCGCGAGGGGTGGTCAGAATTTGACCGTGATCGCGCAAGACGAGGATAATGTGTAATGTCCTCACGACCGAGGGAAAATATCAGGATTTTGCCTCATTTGCGGTAGACGATGATAATCTCCTCACGATCGCGGGATATGTGTTATATATTGCCTCGATCATGGAAGACAATAATTATATGTCCAAACGACCTGACTGCAGAAAATAGTTAGAATCTTGCCGCAAACGCGGGAGACGATTACGACGCCTACACGCTTGCGAGGGGTTATCAGAAGTTTACCGCGATAGCATGCAAATACTACCACGATTTTCCAAATTTTTGGCGCCCCCCAAGCCTTGCGCCCTAGGCACGTGCCTACCGTGCCTATTCGGTAAATCGGCCCTGAGTGTGTCCCAAACACATTCCAGAAGAGCTTACCCTTGAACTAATTTGTTTTAGGTTAATAACTATCTGTCCTGTACTATTTATAGTATACTGATTAAACCAACCTCAGGGTGTTTGACCAGATGAAAGATACAATTTTTTCAACCTCCCTGTTCACAGATTATCCAGAAGAGATTCCTTTTGTCAAACCAGCTCCCATTGACGAAGGAGAGACGAAAAAACAGAAGAAGCAAAAAGAGGGCATGGCAAAGAAGGCATAAGAACGTGGAAATAATTTGGGACAAAAGATGTGATATTGCTTGTGAAAATCTAATGAACATTATTACTTATTTATTATCAAATAATAATAATAATAATAATAGGGTTTTTACAAAAATATTTTGGTTTTTATTGTACTTTACGATCTTTGTACATTTGAGCAATCCTTTTTTAATCTAAAATGTATTAAATTATTTCCAGTTGTTTACTAACTAACAGCTTCTTCTGATACGATACTTTAATACTTTTCCCATTGTTAAATTGATCACTTGGGAGGATTGTTAAATAGTGCAAAAGCACATTTTAACCATCGTAACACAAATGTACGGTGTCAAGTTTTTATCTGTGCATATGCAGAGGCTAGCTGAACTCTATGCATTAAAAAAAAATTCCTAGCCAGTTTGCTTTCCTTTCAAATGCAGGGTTTTTTTTTCAAACGCAGCCAAAATGAGTACAATTATTGTGAGGAAGTATTTAACATTAAAACCAGCTCATATAATGGTGTCCCTGATTCTTTACTTCATTGCCGATCGACCAATATGCATCGTTTTAGTTATCTATGAGGTTATTATTATTGTTATCGTTTGAGATGGGGACACCACCTTGGTACGTAGGTGTAGTGTTAATGATAATTTATTATAAGTAAGATTTTATAAGAGTTTTTTCCACATGCTCAAACAGAGCTTGAGATAACTCAAAGTAGAGGTTTATTCACAATAAAATGCCTTTAATACGACTTATAAATAAACCATATAAACCATTCAACAATGCATATCAGCTGATTGGAAATGAAATAAAGAATTACAGGGACACCAAAATGTGAGCTTGTTTTGTCATTAAACAATGTTTTACCTAACCCGCCATGTTAAACTTCCCTATCCCAAGCGTGATGTATACAACTTCTTTAATTCACGAGTGATGTAAAGTTGAAAAAACTCACTCGGGGAGGTAATGAAACCCATTTAAATAACATTGAGTGGTTAACTGAAAAATTATACCTCTATGTTCAACGCTAGAAATCAGCTGTGCGCTTGAATTTTATTGTTATGCTTTGAAGAATTTTCCTAACCTAGCTTTTGTTTGTAAATGAACGTTACTGTTAGAAGATGAGTGAAATGTATAATGAAAGATATATTGTTCGTAACCTCCTGTATATTGTCGGGTCAGGTAAAATCTTGTACGATACACGTTACGCAAGAGCTTGTTTACATCACTTAGGAGAATTATGCAACTCGCACCTGCGTGATGGAAAAACGCTCTTACTACAATTGTAATGTAAATAGCTATTTTGGTACTTGTTATTTGGGTTGGGTAAAAAAAAACACCCTGCATAATCTATTTAAATAAAAGTAAGAAACCAATCTTACCCTTCACTTTTCATAGAAACGTGTTGCCGTGGACACCTTGATGGATGAGCAAAAATATATTAATACAGTTTAGAACTGGTCAATGAGCATGGCCTGTGTTTAGAATCCATTGAACAGGAATTGTAGAAGGCCTGGGGAGACTGTCACATAATTTACTGTTTGACAGAGGAGTTCAAGGAGGTAACGAGGACAACCTTAGTCTCTAGAGGAAGTCACCTGCCTAAGGAGAAACATTATTGGTTGACATCATACAGTTATCCTGATCGTAGTCTTTGAGCACTATAAATCATACTGCAGTACTAGCATAGACCAACCAACACAAGTACCTAACTTCTCATCCCACAGGTAATTTTGATGCTCTTTTTTCGTGTCAAGTTCATGTCTGCTGACACTGATCGCTAGCATCGACGAAGTTTTGTTTCTATTATTTTAGGGTTAATTTCATGATTTGTGTTTAATTGTTTGGTTATATAGCTAGGAGTTAAGTAATTGTTTATGATTAGATTGTTTTATAACCTTAAACAAGGATTTAAATGACTGAGATAACAAGAAACAAATTGTAAACAAAATACACCCTCTAGAGTGCACCGGACAGAACTAACAATAAAATAGGCTTCAGCTGTTTTATAAGGATGAGAAATCTACTAAGGGAGTATGTTTTATCTAGGGTTTTATGGTTTATAGTCAATCGTTTTTTGTTTTATCTATACTTCACCTTCCATTATACAACTTTAACACTAAATAAATGGAATTGTTAAGACAGAAATTAACCACATTTATTAAAAATCTTCACTTATAAAAAAATATAATTATTGAACTTGATTTATGTGGAGAGCACCCGTTAGACAAGTCTTAAGGTTTGAGGGTGATTTTGTCGTGGCAAAATTTCCTGCTGATTCATCATTCTGCTTACCCATTTTCCTTCCCTTCATCATCCCATCTTTTAAGTGTTGGACTTCATCTACATTATGAATATCCTCAACTTGACATGCTACGGACTTTTTGTTGTCTTTCAGAGACAATCTTCTTTTAGCGATCACCACTGAATCTCGATAGCTTGGACATGACATACTCTTTGTTATGATACTATGGAATCTCTGTTGGTTTGAAGCTATAAAACTTGCATGGTAGTCACATAAGAATTGTATTGATTTCGGCTCCTGATTTTTACAAATGTCACAGCTCAAGTCTTCATTTCCTTTGATTTTTAAAGAACTCCTTTGTGACACCAGCAAGAGTGAATCTCTATGACTTGATATGGTTTTTGTTTTTGACATTGGTATTTTGTGATTGGCAAGGTGTGTTTCAATGTTATTTTCAGAGTTATAAACCGAAGGTTCAGAATGGACATTTGGTAATTTATATGTTAGCATTCTGTAAGGATTTTTATAATCTGAAGTCTGTTTTTTGAGAGAATGGTGTTCTAATTGGTTGCCTGGTACATTGTATCCATTAGCTGTGGAGGTAATTCTTTTATGTGCAAGTTCAACAGAATCTCTTACAGTAAGCAGTGTTTCTCGTCTATTCAAATTTGTTTTATTAAAACCTTTAGAATGTATTTGAGGCAGAATTCCGTCAAAATAAGAATACTCAGATTGCTCTTTCTTTAATGATTTTTGCTTGATTTCTGTGCCTTGTAAATTATGTTCTGATACAGATTTTAAACTAGGTAGTTTACTGGAATAGTCTATTGAATTTTCATATTCCTCGGAATTATTCTCTGAAAACTCAATTTCTAAATGATCAATTCTAAATGGCTTTTTAGGATCCGTTTGATCTTTGGTTATTCCTTGCATGTTTTCACGAATTTCATCTTGATACATAGTCTCATAATAGCTATCTTTCTCAGATGAATCGTCTCTACTAATGTGATGTGATTTATCTATAGTAACTGCTAAAGGGGGTTTGTTGTAGCTACCTAAACTTTTTAACCTGTAGAAATTTTTGTAATCAGAAATTATATTTTTTATTTGATTATGAACTTGTATTTTGGATTTTATTTCTTTAGCTGATATCTTTTCTTTGTCGATGTCCTCTGAATGATCGTAGGGAGGAGTTAACATTTTTCTTGGACAGATCTCATCCCAAAGCTCTTTATTTCGGTCATCACACCCTTCAGCAATGATTGACTCATTAGACAATGGCTGTTGTGCCAAATTATTGAAGTAACTGATATCGTTAGTTAACTGATTTACAGCTTTTGCTAATTGGTCAGCACTCTGATCAACGGCTTCATGCTTTGCTATCTCGTCAGTTTCTTTGCTTTGGTTGAATTCATATGCCATCTGGAGCCTTTTTTGAAATAACTGTCTCTGAAGGTAGCTTTCAATGACAGAAGCTGGACTACTCCAAAATTTCAAAGATGGTAAATCCTTAAAAACAAAACAAACATAATGAAATTTTTATCACTAAAATATGTAGCATTCTAACTCCACTAACTTACTTAGGCACCTATTCCATACAGTTGTCTTCTTGAGTTATTTATTTATAATTTAAATTACATATCAATATCAGTTATGCAACTCAGATACGGTACTGTGGTAAGTTTAAACTACTGAAAATATTATTTTAGGATCCAGTTCTTTTTAACCCTGTACAGTGTACATTACAGCCTGCTAGTTCCTGCTGCCGCCATTTCAGTGTTTTAGCTTTGGTGGCAACAAGACTCATATTGTATAGTTTTGATGGGAACAGGGCTCACCTTGTATAGTTTTGGTGGGAACAAGAGTCACCTTATATAGTTAAGCAGTAACAAGACTCACCTTGTATAGTTTTGGTGGGAACAAGAGTCACCTTATATAGTTTAGTGGGAACAAGACTCTCCTCGTATAGTTTTGGCGGGAATTAGAATCACCTTGTATAGTTTTGGTGGGATCAAGATCAACTTGTATAGTTTTGATGGAACAAGACTCACCTGTATAGTTTTGGTGGGAAAAAGACTCGTATTGTATAGTTTGGTGGAAACAAGACTCATGTTGTAGCTTTGGTGGGAACAAGACTCATATTGTATAGTTTTGGCGGGAACAAGACTTACCTCGTATAGTTTTGGTGGGAACAAGAGTCACCTTATATAGTTTAGCGGGAACAAGACTTACCTCGTATAGTTTTGGTGGGAACAAGACTCACCTTGCAGTTTTGGTGGGAACAAGACTCGTATTGTATAGTTTGGTGGAAACAAGACTCATGTTGTAGCTTTGGTGGGAACAAGACTCATATTGTATAGTTTTGGCGGGAACAAGACTTACCTCGTATGGTTTTGGCGGGAACTAGACTCATCTTGTATAGTTTTGGTGGGAATAAGACTCACCTTGTATTTTTGGTGGGAACAAGACTCGCCTTGTATAGTTTTGGTGGGAACAAGACTCACCTTGTATATTTTTGGTGGGAACAAGAGTCACCTTGTATAGTTTGGCGGGAACAAGACCAGAACCGGCAAGAGCAGTTGCGGGCCCCGGGGTTGTACAACCACGCCCCCCCCCCCCCAAATCAAAATGTCTTATCGATGCTACTGTCAGGATTATTGCAGCTGCTCTCCTGGCAAATAATAATGACATAAAAAAACCTTCGGCCTTCACAGACATTTAGTAGATCTGTTGTGCCATTAATTGTTTGTTCCTCGTGTTCATAACCATTATTTTTGTGACACAACAAACATAAAATATAATAACTAGGTGGCGTTGGCAGAGGCATCCACAAGATTGAGCGGAGTCATCAGGGTTCCATATATATCGTTATTGACCTTCACCTACAGTTCTAGCTAGTTATAACCTAGAAATCAACCCTTTACAGTTTTGGATTCTACCATTTTGGCTATTAATAACTGCATAAGAGGACTTAATGTGATGGTGAGTATATAAGTGAAACCACAAAATATATTATCGTTACAAAAGTTATATTAACATTCCGATTTGCATTGATTTTGGTTGGGAGTTAAAGGAAGTTCGTCTGCAGGATCTTCGGATACAGGATAAAGAGGTCTGTTGTTCAAGTAAGATTCCACCTCGCAGAGTAAGGTTCTCAAAGTTTCTTCATGAGGAGCTTGGGAGTTCAAAATGACATATAAGAATTTTTCATTGACTGCACCAAACGTTTGTGTGCTCCTCCCATATGTGGACTAGCTGGTGGTAGGAAACTCCATTTTATCTTATTTTCTGTACAGAATGACAATAAGTGGTCTTCATCAAAAGATTGAAGAGCTTCTCTCAGTTCCCTCTCTGCTCCCTTGAAGTTCCATTGTCCGATATTAATTCATCAGGTCATCCTCTTCTTGCTGCAAATCTTCTTATGGCTTGTACGGCTGAGTCAGAGTTCAGTGATGTCGCAAGCTCCAAATGAACAGCTCGTACTGAGAGACATGTAAATAATGCTCCATAACGTTTTTCTCGCCTTCCACCCACTGTAACTTCTATAACGGGCCAAAATAATCCATCGACACACAGGTGAACAGTCTACCATAGGGGTCTAGCCTATAAGCAGGCAGAGGAGCCATTTCTGGGGTCTTGGGCATGGTTTGACAAATTTGACATCTTCTGCAGTTTTACAACTTAGGGGAAATTCCTTAAAAAATATTAAATATTCCCTTCAGGTTCTAACGAGTAATTAAAATAAAAACCTCTTTTATTCACTTACTAAAAGAAACTGTATTCTTAAAAAAATTTTGAGAATACTGTTTACTAATCAGAATAAAATTAAAATCAAACATATGATCATATGTTAGTTCCACACAGTACAGAAATTAATTAAACCAAAGTCTTTTAAATTGTGGGAATGAAACCAAAGTCAGTTAAATTCAATTCGTAACACACTCCCCACCTTTGTAAATTGAGGAGTTCGACAACAATTTACAAACACTTAATTCATAAAATTAGTAATCGTCACAATTCGTATAAAAGTATTCACATGTCTAGGATTTTCCGTGGTTTTATCTCTCGGCCACTTCGGGTTTTTACGTTGTTCTTTGTTGGACCTTGTGGTAACGAGATAGTTTCTTCCTGGTTCACAGTTAATCCACTAGTGTCAATTGTAGTATTTGATGGTGTCATCTCAGGTTCGAAGTTCCCATCAAAGCTGTCTTGAGATCCAATTTCTAAGGGATATAACCTCTGTACAGGTCGCAAAATTTCACCTTTCGCCGTTCTTAACTTGACAAGACGAACAATTCCATCACGTCCAGGAATCAATTCAGATACTCGTGCCAGGATCCATTCCAATCTTTTCTTTTCATTTTCTGACAAAACTACATCACCTACTGATAATGTTTTATGTTGTTGATGTTTCTTTGTGGTTCGCAAAAATCCCAGATATTCTTTATGGAATCGGATCTGAAGTCCGTTTCGAAGCTTTTGTATAAAACGTAGTCTTTTCTGAATAATCATATTTTCAATCTCATCAAGGTCAGTCATTTCAGAGCTCGGAAGACTTGAAAGGAATAAGGAAGGGCTGAGAAGAGTAAGTTCGTTTGAGTTGTCACTGACATAAGTCAAGGGACGGCTGTTCATAAGACACTCACACTCACATACTAACGTCATCAGTTCTTCGTAACACAGTGAGGCTCGTCCTAAGTTTTTCTTAAGAAGGTCCTTCAACACACGTATTAACCGCTTCCAATATCCTCCCCACCATGGTGCAGCGGGAGCATTAAATTTCCACTTTATTCGTTGAATACTGCATTCCTCTTCAATTTTGATCCTATATAAATCATTGAATGCGTTGTCAAGTCCAACAAAATTCATCGCATTATCTGATTGTATAATCTTCGGTCTTCCTCTTCTTGATATGAAGTGTCTGAGCGTTTGTATTAGGGTAGACGTACTCAGAGAAGTCAGGATCTCTAGGTGTACATTAATATTATTTAACTCATCTTCGGGAACTTTCTCGATTATTTCAAGATTAAGCCATGAATCAAACACAGAATCATAATCATCGTACTTACCAATAAGTTTCAGTTTTTTGGTAGTAGAACAAAGTCTCTTTTCTGCGACATATTTATTGTCCTCTAGTACAGGCTGTCCTTCACTCCAAGGAAGTTTGACAACATATCTCCCAGAATCTTCTTGTTGAACAGTATTTTCAAAAAACTCAGTTACTTGACTATCCTTTTCACTCTGAAGTTTTTTCGTACCAGGGTCCTTAATTCCTAAAAGTTCAAGTTTCCAAAAGTGAGAGAGATTAACTTGATTTGTAAGAGTCAATAACATCGAAGAAGTCATTCTAGTTTCACTGTCTGATTCAGATTCACCAACTAGTGTCCATCCTAGTTTTGTTTTCACAGCAGCCAAATCATTACCTACTTTTACATACTCCGATGTAATCAATTTAGGCCAACTGTCAGCTCCAAGAAGCAACTGTATATCACTTACTTCTTCTGAGGATTCACAAAAATCCGACAAAATCACACCTTTTGCTTTGAGATTTTCATATATTTTGACGTCCAACACTTTAGGTATGAATCCGCAGATACGAGGTGTGTCCAAAACTTAGAAATCCTCATTAAAACCATCAGTTGTGGATTGAAGTTTTACAGAATAAACTCCATGAGACCTTAAATTCGTTTTCCGTCCCCCAAACAACTCTTGACTCGTCATGGTTTTACCTATTCTCTTCAGTTTTAAATCAGTCGCACAAGATTTCAAAATATAGCTTTTTTGGCTTCCAGAGTCGATCAACGCACGAACTGTGTGTTCTTGGGATCCCACGACGATTTTCACAAGAAGCGTGCTTAGGTAAACCACTGTTGATTTACTAGTACTCGACACTAATACCTGACTTGTACTATCCTCAGAAATAGTTTTCTGTTCATCAGATTTTTTCACTTTTATTTAAGGAAAGGGTAGTTTTCTTTTGAAGATCTTCACACATAATCGGATAGTGTTTTCTTAAACAAGCTGCGCACTTTACCATAGCTTTACAGGAATTGCTCATGTGTCGACCTTTTAAACACTTGACACAAGATCCTTTCTTCTTTAAAATATCTTTTCGCTCAAGAAGAGTCATATCCAAAGCTTTCACACAATCTTGAGATCTGTGGTTTTTATCACAAAACACACAAGTCAATGAATAAGTACCTTCTGTAGTCGATACAAATGCCGCCGCCGAAGGCTGTTTCTCAAAAGGCTTCCGATTGTTTTGCTTCTCAAAACCTTTATTTGTTTTGATAGAAGATCCCCACAAATCTTCAGAGGAACTTGAAGGATGTTTTACATTGTGTTTGGTACTTGCAATTCCAAACCCTTCCAATGCTAGATACTTTTTGTTCTCCCTCTACCTCGTGTTTAAGGAACGTCAACAGATTCTCCAGAACTTCTTTGGAGGAACTTTCATGATTGTTAGAGTTATGGTTCGTTGTTCGCCTAGTTCTCCGTTAAACTCTTTT